CAATATGGCTGGATCTTTAAGGAATGAATCAAAAACATTTTCCTTTTTTTAAACATGAAGTGTTAGTTGACCAAAAGTATATTTATTTGTGGCCTTGTATCATTGTTTTTTTCCTAATTCTCTTTTTCTTATTGTTTGCCATGTACTTTTTCTTTTGCCAGTCTTATTTTTTTTAATGCTGCTACGAAGACTTTGTTTGTCTAGTTTCAGTTGGAACATGTTTTCAGTATATTTTTATAATTTTTCTATCCCCTTCTTCTGCAGACAAAATGGTGCCCTGCACCAGGTTGTGATTATGCTGTGGATTTTGTTGTGGGTAGTGGAAGCTACGATGTTACTTGTCGCTGCTCATACAGCTTTTGCTGGAATGTGAGTTCCTTTGAATTGTCCATCCTTTCTTTCTTGTTCTAGGAATTTTAACTAATGATTTAGGAGCCTTTGTGCTTCATTCTTTGTTTATTTAAAAAAGAAAGGGAAAATGTGGTTGTAAGATTTAATTTTCATTTGACTTTGCAGTGCACTGAGGAAGCTCATCGACCTGTTGACTGTGGCACTGTGGCCAAGTGGATATTGAAAAACAGTGCAGAATCTGAAAATATGAATTGGTGAGGAAGAAGATGCAATTTTACTTACTATAATGCCTGACGTTGCTAAACTGATGCCTGGAAAGCAGTCTTTAGATTACATCAAATATCTTTGTTAGCAATTTGTTATTTATCATCAGTAGCACCCTTCGCACAGCTTGCATGCATGCATACACGCTAATGTAAAGTCAAGCAGCCAGTTTGGTGTGCACTTGAAAATTACATCGAATTCCTTGCAAAGCTTCTTTTCTTTAAGGCCAAAGGCGCAAATCTGCTCTTGAATGTATTCCGCCAAATCCACCCAAAATGGATGGATTCAGTCTACATAAGTATATAAACTTAATTAAACATTAAACAACAATGGAGCAGACAGAATCTGTCTATTTTGATGGAATTGCTGCTGCTTTTTGTTGAGGGGTGTTATGTTCCAATTGGCTTAGTTCGGGGGAGGATTTGCACATTTTGCTGTAACTCTTAAAAATTTTCTAATTGCCTTGCTGCAACAAATAATCTTCTTTATTATGAATCTTTGCTGTGAGTCTTCAGAAAAAAAAAAAAAAGATGTGTGATGTCTATGGTGTTAACCTAATTAAAATGCTATTTAACATGTTCACAAATAGGTCTGTGAGATTGACCTATTTCTTCGATCTCATACTAT